GCCATGGACAAAGATATGGTCTCCACACTCATGCTGTGGGACCCCTCTACCTCCTCCCCCCCACTGTAGACCACAGGTACTGCCAACCTGCCCACATGACCTAGTAGAAGTAGATGGCTCAGCACTTCAGTGACTCCAGTTGTTCCTCTCCAGCCAAACTTAGAGTGGCGGTAGGTGAATGCTCCTCCTCTCTGAAGGTGATAATCTGTGGAGTCCCACAGGGAACAGCTAGTACAGAATGCAGCTGCCCACTTCCTCCATGATCTAGGCCAGTGGCTCTCAACCTTTCCAGACTACTGTACCCCTTTTAGGAGTCTGATTTTGTCTTGCATACCCCAAGTTTCACCTCACTTAAACTACTTGCTTACAAAATCAGACCTAAAAATACAGAAGTGTCAGCACACTATTACTGAAAAATTGCTTACTTTCTCCTTTTCACCATATAATTATAAAATAAATCAATTGGAATGTAAATATTGTAGTCGCATTTGTGTGTAGTATATACAGCAGTATAAACGCGTCATTGTCTGTATGAAATTTTAGGTTGTACTGACTTCGCTAGTGCTTTTTATGTAACCTGTTGTAAAATTAGGCAAATGTCTAGATGAGTTGATGTATGCACACCCCTGGCTGAGAACCACTAGTCCAGGCTGCTTTGAACATAAAAAACCTTAGTCCTAATTTTGCATTGGGACAGCTGCATTAGAGACCAAATTATCTATGAACCACCAAACACTGCATGCCATAAAGCCCAGGATGAGTGGGTAAGAGCTGGGAACTGAGCATTTTTGGTGTAGGACAGGGGTAGGCAACCTATGGCACACGTGCCAAAGGCGGCACACAAGCTGATTTTCAGTGGAACTCACACTGCCTGGGTCCTGGCCACTGGTCTGGGGCTCTCTGCATTTTAATTTAATTTTAAACAAAGCTGCTTAAACCAGGGCTTTGGAGCTGTGCTCTGGCTCCGCTCCAGCTCCAGGCAAAAACCTGCAGCTCCACTGCTCTGGAGCTGCTCTGCGCTCCAGCTCCAGGATCTGCTCCAAAGCCCAGCCTTAAACATTTTAAAAACCTTATTTACTTTACATACAACAATAGATTAGTTATATATTATAGGCTAATAGAAAGAGACCCTCTAAAAACGTTAATGTATTACTGGCACCCGAAGCCTTAAATTAGAGTGAATAAATGAAGACTCGGCACACCACTTCTGAAAGGTTGCTGACCCCTGGTGTAGGAGATGAGCAGTGGAACAAACTTTCAGTGATTAGATTCTGGATTTACTTTCTTATCTTTAGGAAATGCTATAAACTTTCATCTTTTGAAAAAGCCTTTGAGTTATAACAAGAATGACACTCGCAACCTTTAAACCCTCACCTACCCAAATACTCTCTGCAAATTTTTTTAAAAACTAACCAACAAAATGCACTAGAATTTTAACCCCAAAAAAGGAAGAGACATGGAGGCTCCATGAAGACCACAGAGGACTTTGCTGTTGCTCTGTGGTTGGGTTTGTTAGCATGGTGGTGTGTGGTAATAAAAAACCCTACAGAGCCCTCCAAGAAGAAATTAGAATGACATGGCTGCATGGAGAATGAGAAATTAGAGCTGGAGAGAATTGTAGGAAATCTGCATAGAGGTGGTAGTTGTGCGCTATGGAACAAATGAAAGCACCTAGTCAACAGCCTTCTCTTTTCACTGTACACTATCAACACAACTATTAGTAACTTGGATGAGGATGGGAGAGAGAACGTGAAACTACCAGGAAACACAGGTGGGGTGGTCAACATTACGGTCGGATGAGAAAGGGAAGGATATTGAAACTAGCAGAGATACATCAGTGCGAATGAAGACAGATCACCAGGAAAAGTTACTAGTGATTTGGATTAAAACAACTTTGGTAAAATGAAATGCGTGTTGTGTGTGGTGGTTTTTTTTTTTTTTTAAATTACTCTTAAACACACCTGGATGTGGGAGTTTGAGGGCAAGAAAAAATTCCTTAAACAGGAGTTCATATCCAAAAGATGGAAATGTTGGTGCTTGTCTTCATTATGGAATGTTACCATGTTTGAAAGAGACAAGGTAGATGAAGCACTCTCTCTTACTGGACCATTTCTGTTGGTGGAAGAGACAAGCTTTCGAGCTTCACAGAGCTCTTCAGGTCTGGGGAAGGTAACCAGAGTGTCTGAACTAAATACAGCTTGGAACAGATGAAGCATAAAGGTGTCTCTCGCATTTTGTAGACCATTTAAAATGAAGTGGGCCATTAAGGGTTAGCGGGCAGTAGGTTGTGTTAAAGTTGTAATGAAACACAAACTAGTGTTTCTGTTTAGTCCATGGCTTTTAGTGTCTAGCAGAGTTAGGAATTTAAGTTCCCAAGTTTGTCTTTTGAGGTGGTGTTGTGAAGGTTGCCTTTGAGGACAAGGACTTGAGGTCCGATACGGAATGATTGCTTTGTGGGAAGTGTTTGCCCAGGAGTGATGTGGTGTTTTTGTCTTCTATCATTTTTCTGCAAGTTCATTTGAGTGTTGCAATTATCTGGCTTCACCCAAATAGTTGTTTCTGTGGCATCTGATGCACTGGCTGAGGTACACCACATGTTGTGATAGGCATGTGTAGGACCCAGGGATCTTGAAGGTGTGTTGTGGGGTGGGGTATTGATCATCAAACAGTGGAACTGTCTGCAGGTTTTGCCGCACACTTCTGGAAAAAAACACAACACCAAGAATCACCACAGATGCTACAATGGTTTTCTCAAACTGGGGTCCATGAGGATGCTCTAGGGGGCCCATGAGTCATATCTGGGGCTGCCAGCCCTGCTAATCAACTCCTCCCCCTCTCTCCCAGTGCCTCCTGCATGCCCCGGAATAGCTGTTGAGCGGTGTGCAGGAGGCACTGGGAGGGTTGGGTAGGAGCAGGGATAGAGTGTGCTCAGGGGAGGGAGGGAAAGAGGTGGGGAAGAGGAGGGGCAGGGGTAGAGTTGGGCAGGGCCTGGGGTTGAGCTGACTTTTGGGGGTCTGCGCAAAATTTTAAATCAAAATGGGGGTCCTTGAGTTGCAAAAGTTTTTTGAGAACTGCTGTGCTACACAACACCCCAACTTCACCATCCTATCAAGACTTCCTCAAACTGGAACCAAAGTATCTGTACTCTTCTGAAGTTCACAAGACTGAACTTTTGCCCCATCACAGAACCTTAAAATGTTTGGCTTTGTAGTGATGAGCAGGAGTAGAAATAATTTAGAGCAATTCTATTAAATATATAAATACACAAAAATGAAAATAGATTTAACACATGATGAATTTTTAATTTTATTACTGAAATACATTTGTTGGAACAATATGGTCCCTATATTCTATCAGTTCTTAAGATGGTGTTCTGCTTAACTGATGGAATGATACAGCCCTTAAATTACATATTGTAACACTTTTTTTCCTGAGTTGTTTTTTTTACTGAAATGATCTACAGTGCAAGCTTATGTGCAATTGAATGATGTTCCAATTTAATTTTTTAAAATTCATACAAATTAACTGAACATGATCTAACTCTTCTTGGATAGCCTTCCATACTAATACCTCTCAGCACCATGATGTGTATGACAGTTACTAAACATTCAGAAGCTTTTGGTTTTTGTCTGATTTATATATTTTTCATAGCCTAGGAGCGAGGGTAAAATGGGCTATGCAGTAGTGAGTGTATTCTTCTCACTCATTCAGAGCCTCAAAGCTTTCTGTAATATATTAAAATGCTTGCTGTTCAATAAAAAGTACTACATTACCTTCTGTAATCAATAGGAACCAAGGATATTTTTCTGGCTAAATCATGAGTGGCTTAGGAAAGCTGTGGCAATGTGATTTTGGGCAAATCATTTAATCTCTCTCTACCTCACCTTTTTCATCTTTTAATTGGGTATAATTGTGTTTACTCACGTCACAAGTGTTTGTAAAAACACATTCAGTTTAAAGTGTAAAGTAACTTTATGTACTCTGTCCACAATACAGCTCCATCCCTATCAAGACTGTGTCTGCGCTGTTTTTAAGGGACTGCATTGTGTACAGTAATCAGAGTCCACTTGCATTGGGGTAGTAAATGCTGGCTTCTTGGTTCGTTGTTTCTGTTCACATCTGATCAGATAAGTCAAGGGGTAGCACTAGCTTGTATTTTCTCTTTTGTTCTATATGTCGACTTCTAGCTTTTGTAAGGCTTGTACTTAATCTTTTATATTGTGTTTTCAATGCTAATAACAAAATACCACTACTCTCTATAATGGTGCTACCCCTTCTCTTAACCTGTGTTCTACAAACCACGCTTCAGAAGATAAAATGCCAAAATAATAGTTGGTTGCTATTGTTACTAAAAAAAAGTTCAAGGCGTAACTAAAAATCTCTATCCTGGCCTAATATTCCTTGAAAACCAAGTTGGGTCTCGCACACTTTCTGCAGCGCCTGCTCCCCCGGGCTTGCTCTTTCCAGCGACGTGTTTTTGAGATCACGCTGATGCTGTTGATGTCCAGCCTGCAGAGCGATTTGGGAAGGGTACTTTCCGTGCGCACTCCCTTGCGGGCTAGGAGGGAGCAGGGTGGAGTGGAGGACAGGAGGTTGGCTGTGCGGCCAGGGGAGGCAGGGCCGGGCAGGGTTACGGTACGGTGGATGGGGAGGGAACCACTTCTCCAGCTCGGCCAGTTTCTCCAGCAGGAGCAGCAGCAGCCTCCCCGGCCCGTAGGGGATCGGCACAGAGAGGCACCCGCTAAGGGCAGGAGGAGGAGCAGCAGCGGGAGGCCGCTGCGAACAAACAAGTCGCTACCAGCTGCGCTGCGCTTCCCCCTGCCTGCGCCCCTCCGCGCCGGAGCGGGCAGAGTCCGAGAGGCGGCCGGGGGCGCGGGGCGGCGCTGGCTCCCAGCAGCATCGCTGGGAGGCTGCGCTGTGCGCTGGCTGCTCGGGGCCGGGCAGAGTGACGGGCTCCCAGAGCCCGGGCGTTGCGCAGCTCCACCAGCCTAACTTGGCAGCCGGCACCCGCTTCCCGCGCGGAGGCGGCGAGGGGCCGGGGAGCCGGGCACTGCGCTGCCCCGTCGTAGAGGAGGGGCCGGGCCCCAGCGGGCAGGGGCTAGGCTGGGCGGCCGCGGCAGAGGGCGAAGCCGGCAGGAGGTGAGGCTGGGCGGCCGCGGCAGGGCGAGAAGCCGGCAGGGACTGGTGGGCGGCCGCGGCCGGGGGGCCGGGCACCAGAGGGGCTCCCCAGCCCGGGGCCCCGCAGCGGGGCGGATGGCTGCGGGCAGCATCACCACCCTGCCCGCGCTGCCCGACGACGGGGGCAGCGGCACCTTCCCCCCGGGGCACTTCAAGGACCCCAAGCGGCTGTACTGCAAAAACGGGGGCTTCTTCCTGAGGATCAACCCGGACGGCCGAGTGGACGGAGTCCGGGAGAAGAGCGACCCGCACAGTGAGTACCAGCCTCTTCCCCGCCCTCTGCACCCCCTGCCTGGTCCCGGGGCACGCCCTAGCTACTCCCAGGGGCTACTGGCTGCGCCCTCCCACCTCTACACCGTTCATGGCACCTGCCCACTTCCAGTGATACTCTCACCTGCACGCCCCTCTTCAAACCTACATCGCCCAAACTCCTTGCTGACTGAGGGTAAAATCCTGGCTTCATTGAAAACAATGGCAAACTCCTATTTCAGTGGGGGCAAGATTTCACCCTTGGTCTCAAATCTATTCCTGTTACCTTCCGATCATCTGGATCCTGTGTGTGAATATGAAGACCTGAGTTCGCTCCTACTTAGGTCACAGACCTGCTGTGTGACCTTGGGTAAATCACTTCACCTCTGGGCTTCTTCACATTAGAGAATCTTACTGTGTTTGAACAGGATTGGGAACATTTGAGTTAATGACACTGTCATGACCATGACTTTGCAGTCAGTGTAGACTAGCTTAATTCACAAATGTGGGGGTTTAACCGTAGCTAGCTGACAGAGCATCTCATCCTGGGCTACACCAACTGAAAACTATAGTCAGTATTTTGTCTAACTTGAGTGATCCCAGTCCTATTCAAGCACAATAAGATGTTCTTGCATATACAAGTTCTCTGCCTGTCTTTCCCCATCTCTAAAATGGATAGAATGACACTTGCCTACTTTAAGTATTTCATGTTATTAGCTTTAAACTTAACACTTGAAGTGTTTATCTGTACTGATCAATCAGCTTTAGTATTAATGGACAATGTAGAGTTATGGTTCTGTTAACGCAAGCAAGCTCACATCTTAAACAAGAAAGAAAAGAGCGTGGCACATGTTTGTAAAAGTTTTCATTTTCATGTATAATCAGCTTGGATCAAAGGACAGTAAAAACAAGTGTAAAATACTTTGAATACTACAAAACTTGAACTATATCCCAGACAGTATTCTTGTGGAAGTGGTAATACCTCTCCCAGTGCCCTCCCTCTCAGGACAGGAATAGGGTCCTGGGATGGGAATGCCAATTCACTTCCTTTATTTTGAAAGGGAATCACAGTACATAGAATGGTCTAATCCTCAATTAGTGAGAATAGGCAATCAGACACCTTGCACTGCAAGAGGCTTGTTGTCCAACATGGAATTGTGTGGGTGGATCCTTATTACTAAAGTAGCCTTTTGCTTATTTAGAGAACAAAAGCCACAAGACTTTTCAAAGTATTGAATAGTCTATGTATAGTACTTGCCAATCCAGTGGCAATACATTAACCTGTCCCACAACTGAAGAGCTGCTGGTGAATTATTTCCTTCAAATCAGTTATGCATGGCAGAATTACTATGCAGTCTCCTGTCATAGGGTAACAGCCCTACCATGCTTCCTGATTAGTATACTACTAGATTTGTACTATGCACGTTATGAACCTTGACTAGACAAGGAACTGCTATGAGACCTTTGGCACCAGCTGCAGACAAAATAAGATCCTACTCAAACGGGCTCTTTTCACAAAGTAGTTGTGGCATAAAATTGACTAGGATTATGGCCCTATTTTTCATCTGCTGCTGGCCTGATTCTGAAATGCAAGTGGCATAGAAGGGAGACAGAAGAGGTGGAGGAAGACAAGAAGCAAATGGGGAGACCGATACAGAAAGAGAAGACCTACAAAGAGAAAAAGGAGAGTAGGGCAGAGAGAGGGACAATGACTCTTACACTGGTGTCCTACATCTTTTCCAATGAAAATTTGTAGACCTCAAAGGCTTACACTTCAAGTATTCATATTTGAGTTTAGCCTGCTAACCTACCACACAGTACACCTGGAAACCCTTTAATATTTTCTTCCAATTTTGGTTTCTAAATTCTGGAATATATTTGCCAATACCGCCTTTTAAATTCCTGGAGAAACACTGCAGGAGCCTGACACCTGACCTGGGCATATTTGGAGTGGGTTGGAGACAGCCTATAGCTGTGTTACTGTGTGATGTGCCTTGTACATTCACTTTTTTCTTGTAGATTTCTAGGATGCCCCTTGAAAAAGGGAAAATACACTACTCCACACACATTTGTATTATAAAATATGAAATTATACTCAATGATACAAATACCATAAACCTTGGCACATGGAATGCTTAAAGTAAGGTATTAAATTTATATATAGATAAGGGGCCTGTGTGGTTCCCCCTCCCTCCCCCCCAAGACATGTCAGTCACTGACCGCTCTGGATGCCCTGTACTGAAAATCGGGACATTTGTTTTGGTGTTTAAATATGGACCTAGCTGCCTAACTATTTTTTAAAATGTGACTGAAAAGTCCCATTTAAATACTCTGGATACTAGAAGAATTTGCTTTTTCTAATTCAGTTTTCATATGGAAATGTAAGCTTACATTATAATAGTAACCCTAATGATGTTCATGCTTTCTGCCTTTTTAAAAATAATGTACATAGACGCCTGGAGCAGGGTATGTTTGGGAACAAATGGAAATATTGGGGAAATGTGGGCATTCTTATAGGAAAAGTCTCATTCATTCATAATGCACATCTTGTCACTTCATGGATAGCTGGGAGAGTATCTTTGAAATCTAATACAAAGTTTGGATTCATGGCTGAAGTATGGGTCTGTGAGGCAAGCACTCTCTCTTTCCTGGTTCTGCAACCTCTCTGCATCTTCAGTTTCACCCGATTGCACTCCTATTCCTCTGCTGCCATTCTTCTTTGTATCTCTATTTTTCTTTCCCTCCTCCTCCTCCTCTCCCTCTCACACTCTCTCGCCTTTTTAGTTCATCATTCTCCCTCCCCCTTCTCCTGACTCCACCCTACTGCCTTCTTCCTAATCCCAGTACTCTGATTGCCTCTACTCCCTTTACCAACCTCCTCCATGGTAGGCTGTGGCACCAGTGAGTAGGGTACTCTTCTATTCCAAACCATATCCAAGGAGGGCTTACAGATATGTTTCCTTTAAAGTCTGTCCCTTCCCCCTCCTCACTCCCACATTTCTGCTACTGCCAATAACTTGAGGGGCCTAAGAAAAGGTTGTTTTTGGTATGCTTGGAAGGTCATACTGAAACAACAAGCAATAAATAAAAGACAAGTCTTGGACACCTTCCTAAGAGGCATAAGACTGAAAATGTTATAAAGAAAAGTATATCTAAATTAAGTGATGCAGTTTTACCTTATGATGCCTGACTTTCCCTTTCTTAAACATCCATTTCTATGAGAAATGTAGTCAGGGGAAATTGATGGAATTATTCCAGCAGAGAAATTGACCTAAATGTTCAAGGGCATTGATTCAAGGAAAATTTAGGAGAGATTATTTTGGTAACTGTTCTTTTCAAGATTTAATTGCCTAAAGTTGTATTGGATGAACACTGGTTCCTTTCTGCTTTCAAAGGAAGTTCTTATTTTAGAGGGTGTGAAGACCTGTATCTGGTTAGATGTGTGTCCAAAATATAATAGTGTAAAACAGTGTCTTATTTAGTTGTTGTCAAGACTGAATCCCCACTCTGTCACTCAGAGTGCAGAAGTGGGGGCCTGAAACGATTTTAAAAATTAATACTTGCCACTCCAGGCTGATATTACACTCCCAAGGTTACAACTTCTCTCTGACCATAGGTGCCGCCTCCGTGGGTGCTCCAAAAAAATTGGTGGGTGCTCAGCACCCATCAGCAGCTCCTTGCCTGGCCCCCCCCCCGCTCCAGCTTGCCTCCGCCTCCTCCGCGAGTGCGGTGCCGCGTCCTGCTTCTCCCCCCTCCCTCCCAGCGCTTGTGCTGTGAAACAGCTGATTCGCGGGGTAGGGAGGGAGGGGGAACGCGGCGCACTGGGGGAAGAGATGGGGCCGGGGATTTGGGGAAGGGATCCAATAGGGGTAGGGAGGGGACGGAGTTAGGGTGGGGACTTTGGGGATGGGGTTGGAATGGTGGCGGGGCTGGGTGGGGAAAGGGTGGAGTCTGGGCGGGGCCAGGGGCAGGGAAAGGGGCAGGAGAAAGTTGGTGCCTATGTCTCTGACCTTGGCTTGGTAAACGCTGCCACCACTCAAATGCAAAAAAAAAAAAAAAAAAAAAAAAAAGCACCTTTTGAACCCAGGAAGGAGCACTTGGGAATTCCTCCCCATGCAGTACCCTCAAGCCCTTTCACCCCCCCCCCCCCCCCCCCCGCGAAAGTGCTGAGAAAGAAAACAAAGGAAATTAGCTGTGGCTACCAGCTAATCAAACAACATGCACAAACGTCTTAGAATACCAAAAATCCAATCCTGTTCTTAAAGATAAATTTTATTAAAAACAAAAAGGAAAAAATTACATCTGGAACTTAGGCTTTTGTTAGATTTTAAGAGCAATTACAAAAACCAAGCACCCAAAATAGCTTTCTTGGGGGTTCATCTTAAAGGTTACAAGCAAACAAAAGCATCTGGGGTTAGCACAGAGGCAATCTACAAGCCAAAATAAAAAATAAACCTAATTGTCTGTCTAAACATTCCCTATCCAAATAATTTCTTCCAGGTATAAAAGATGAATTTTCATACGTGGTTCAAGCCTTATACAGCATTGCTGCTCCATCCCTGCAGCCCAGAGAACAACAGACAAAGGGAAAGTTTCTTTCCTAATTTTAAAAAGTTCTACCTTCCCACTGGCTCTTTTGGTCAGGTGCCCACTCCTTTTCTTTTACCTGTGGGCTTGTTAACCCTTTATAGGTAAAGCAAGAAGAGAACAGACCAAGAGGGGTTTTATAGTTTTACAGCTAACTGGCTGGCTGGGTGTCCATCAAAGGGAGCTACTCTCCCTCACCCTCTTCCTCCCCACCCCCAATGTATCACAGTTGTGTGTGACTTTTTCCCTGATATGCCTTTAGTACTAAGGAGCATGTGTCCAAATTATATAACCTGTTCCCTGTGTGGGACTTGATTGTTATGTTTTTTTTTTCTCATTTGTTGTGTGCTTACATGAACTCTTAAATGTATATTTAATGGAAACAAAAAATAGCAAGTAAAAATCCTGTATGCTAGA